AAAAAAAATTATTATTAAAATATTATAAAAATAAATTTTAAATAAATTTAACATTTAATTAATTTAAAATGTATAATTAAATAAAATTTAAAATTAAATTAATTATTAATAAGATTTTTTTTTAATAGCATTTTTTTAAGATTTGAATTTTGGGAGGTTTTTTTGGCCTAATTACAACTAATTTCTAGGTCAGTGTGCCTTTATTTTAAAAATTTAGCATTTTACTTGGACATTTTTGTTCTAAATATTTCATTAAAATCAATATTTTGTTTCAGCATGCCTTTATTTTAAAACGTATTAAACATTTAGCAATTTATTTGGACCTTTGGCTGTATGTGAAGTTGTGGATTTTTACCGTAAATATTTAAATTAAAATGAATATTTTTAATTGCTTTTATTTTTAAATGTAGTTTTTTTTTAAAAATCAGCAATTTATTTGGACTTTGGGTTTGTGGGAGGTTATATATGTTTATTGTTAATATAGTAAACTGAAACAAAACCCTAATTTTAACAGATTAACTAGAATAAAAAGTGTAAATTGCATTAAAACAAAAAAAAATTAAAAATATGCCTAATATAAAATGATGAGAATGATTTTTTAATGCTCACAGATGTTTATTCTGTGCTGTTGCACAGCTGATGTCTTCTGCTTGTGAAGATTAAAAACTTTTTAAACTAAACACAAGACTGGATTGCACAGGAAAAACTGCATAGCAGAACTGTAAAAGTAATATAAAAACACAAAAGTAATAAAATCTTTGTTTTGTTTTGTTTTGTTTTTTATATATATATATATATATATTTACCGTTACACTCATGAACGTAGAGAACAGACCTGGACCATGCACCAGGAAGAACTGCTCTTAAGAAGAAGTATGAAATGCACACTGGCTGCCATCCTGTGTTTTTCTGGTGCTAGTGCAGCCACCTTCAGCATCCTGCAACTCTTCACAGTATGAATACAAAGCAACAACGGTGTCCTCAAACATCACTGTGCTTAACTACACACTATCATTCAAATGTCCTCTGGATTAGCAACAACACCTTGAGACATTCCACACATTCCTCTCGTCCTGAGGCTGGGGATTAAAGATGCAAATACAAGCTTGATGTTCCTACAGTGACACCTCAGGACAAGACAGTACGAGTCTCTGTTCATCTCTAGCTACATTGTACTTTCTTTTTTTCTTAAGTGGTCACATGTAGACATTTGTAAAGTAGAAGAAACTGGGTATGCTTTCATTTAGGATAAATCTGGAATAATCGTAGGAATACTGAATATTTCTTTTTTCATTCAGATGATAAAATTGGCAGGGTTGTAATCCATAAGGAATAAATCTAGAGCAATGCAACAGATTTACATAATTCTCTGCGAATGCTTTGATAGGTTAATAAACGTGTAATACTTCTACAGCACTGGTTATTAACAACCAACAACACTTCTACTTTCCAGAACTAACGACTGCTCCTCACGTATAGCAAATGACTGCAATTTAAATGCAATCAACTGACACTTCCACCATATGGACCTTGAACGGCTGGAGGTTTGCATCTGAATGCTGATGCTCGTCATCCTAACAGACTGCACACAAAACAAGACAAATAGTTAGAGGATGCCTGTGAGGTACAAGTGCCCATTTCAGAATGGGTGATTTTAATCTCTTGTTCACAGACCATTGCATGTAGACGCTGCAGTTACAGACACTTCTAGGTCTGATCACTGTTTTTAAAAAGGAACATCACATAGCAACACAAATAATACCCCATGGGTGAAAACAGGCACAAGTTGGCAAACAAGTCATTTGATTTCAAAGTGATGCCATGATATATATTGCACTAGATTTAACTGATGCTGTATATCGCAGTATATATAAGATTAGATTCAATTTTATTGGCATTGTGCAGAGTATGAGTACAGAGCCAATGAAATGCAGTTTTTTGCATATACCAGCTTGCTAGGAAGCTGGGGTCAGAGCACAGGGTCAGCCACAGCACCCCTGGAGGGACTTGCTCAAGTGCCAAACAGCAGCAGCTTGATAGTGCTAGGACTTGAACCCCCCCGACCCCCGAACTTCCAACCTTCAGGTTAGTAACCCAGAGCCTTAACTGTTCAGCGAGTTAGTTTATGGGCACCTTACACCCATATGTGGTTCTTCCCAGACTGTTGTCACAAAGTGGAAGCGCACAATTGTATAAAATGTCTTTGTATACTGTAGCATTACAATTTCCCTGTACTGAAATTAAGGGGCCCAATCATGTTCCACTCATGTTCCTGACCTCAACCCCATTGAATACCTTTGGCATGAACTGGAATGAGAACTGTCCACCAGACCTCCTCACCCAACATCAGTGCCTGATCTCACTAACGCTCTTGTGACTGAATGAGCACAAATCCCCACAGCCACGATCCAAAATCTAGTGGAAAGTCTTCCCAGAAGAGTGGAGGTTATTATAACAGCAAAGGGGGACTAAATCAGGAATGGGATGTTTAACAAGCACATATGGAAGTGATGGTCAAGTGGCCATCTCTATGAAGCTGCTGTAGTTCTTATTTAAAATTTCAGCTAGGTATGCAAACGCAGTTATGTTGGCTAAAATATCAGTCAGTTAGCATAAAAATTACCAACACCAGAAGGTACAAAGCACAGCCTCTTTCATTAGGTTTGTTTAATCTGGTTCTGGAGAATCATTTCACCTGAATGTTGAAATATCGTTTCTTTATCTGCAACTAGGTATTATAACTCACTGATTGTTTACATTTTGCATAGCCACGTTAGTCTTTATGTATCTACTATTAGAACAATTCAGGCACATATACTGCTCTTTATGGGCTACCTGAACACTATGAATTCCAAAAACAGATTTCAGTAACCTTGATTAGACCTACACACTGTCTTAAAATTGGCTTTTAGCTGTGTATCATGTTATTTACACTCACTATTTATGTTTACAACTGATGCTAGCTAAACTATGTTTTGATATACAGAACCGTTCAAAAGTCTTAAAAAAGCACCCTTTTTTTTAGTACAAACTTTGTTATAGATTTTTATTTAATGACTTCTATATTATAGATTCAGTACAAAAACATTTTAGATTTCCAAAAAATTTGGTTTCCAGCACAAAATTAAATATTACAGAAAAATGTTTGTATGTTAGTAAAGAAAGCAGCATATTACATAAGAGACACTTTTCAGACAAAAAAACATAATGAAGGCTGCTGGGTTTTGCCGCAAAAATAAGAAGCGAGTGTGACAGTCAAAGTCTCCAGAAGAACCGTGGCTGCTTCTGCAAGATGCTCAGTAACACTTACAGCTCATTTCCTTATAAAACTGCACAAATTGTACCTGAGACTACTATTTTTTTCATTGATTACTGTTTACTGCTCTTTATAGTATTTTTTTAAATGTAGAAATATTTAGTTTCATTATTTTTGAAGGCATCTTTGCTCTACAGCATTTCTTTGCATGTGCCTAAGACTTTTACACAGTACTGTACTGTAGCCCAGTGTATATGTACAGTATAAGAACAATGAAGTTGAACTAAATTGAATCGAATGTTTCCTGTTTATACCCCTGAGGAGTTTGCGTATAGGGTAGTGGTTCTCAAAGCCCTCCAGACTGTCCACATTTTTCTCCATCCCTATAAATGCATGAGTTGGTGGCCATGAGGACTGCTTTGAGAACCACTGCTATAGCTATAGCTCCAGCTCCGGGATTACAGTAGGGCAGTGGAGGCTTGCATATGACATACGATGACATAGTATGTCATAGTATGCTATATTTACATTCACGGCATTTTATTATATTGATATTCTTTTGCACTACCTGTTATATCTGACACGTTAACACTAGAACTGTGTACTGGTGGGCGCTGCACTGTGCCGATTGTCCTGTTTTAGTAGTTATTGTACTGTCTCGTGCTGTTTGCGCATGTTTGTATGAGCACTTTATGTAGTAATGTGTAGTCTTGTGTAGTTCTGTGTTGTTTTATGTAGCACCATGGTCCTGGATTAATGTCGTTTCATTTCATTCTGTACTGTACTAGCTGTATATGGTTGAAATGACAATAAAGCCACTTGACATGACTTGATTTGACTTGAGGCTTAGCAGTTCTGAGTTCAAATCTAAGGACTGCCAGTGAGCTTTGTGAATTCTTCTTCTGCTCTCTGGACCTGTCTGATCCATCCTGATGTCCTACTTCTGTTAAGAGTTCTCATCACCTGAAAATCACTTACTGCTGCTGAGGATGGCCGCACATGGACAGCCTAATGATCACTATGAGATTACTGTGGATGGATCCACATAGAAACCTTAAAGATGGATGTGGATGTTCTTCTTTGGATAGCCTTAGGACTGCAATTGCTAAGAATTTGCACTCAAGTCTCCATCATTGAACAGTTGATAACTTCACTTTGATACAATAAGTTAAAACTGTAATGAATTCAGAAATGATTCTGTTGCTCATACTAATAAGTTGCTCATAAGCTCATAAGTTCCTGGTTACACAATGGCACTTTTTGACTATACATTATACAGTTATAGAAGGGAATTATTTATAATTGCACTATTCAGTGTCACCTAGATGAGAATGGGTTCCTTTTTGAGTCTGGTTCCTCTCAAGGTTTCTTTCTCATGTCATCTCAGGGAGTTTTTCCTTGCCACCGTCACCTCTGGCTTGCTCATTAGGGATAAATATATAAATTTAAAATTTATATCCGGAATATATATATTTCTATAAAGCTGCTTTGTGGCAATGTCCATACAAATAAAATTGAGTTGAACTGAATTGAAATTGAGTAAGAACTGTATCCTTCAAGGGACAGATGTTTGGATTTATGCTGTGGAAAAAGCACATTTGGTGGGGTGTTCCTCAAGAATAAGTGTTGGGGCTGCTCTTATTTTCTCTGTATATGATCCTACTTGCCTGCATTAATTGTAAATAGGGAATCAATTTCTATAACTATGTAGATGATATTGCAATATTACTGTTCTGTTGATTGAGGGTTGGAGGACTAGTGGTTAGGCCACAGCGCTCTCACCACCACGGCCCGGGCTCAACTCCCGGCTGGGGCTCCAACCCCAGCCACTGGGGCTGCATGCGACAGTGCACTCTCAGTGCTGGTCCCAAGCCTGGATAAAACTGGGGAGGGTTATGTCAGGAAGGGCATCTGGTGTTTTTTTTTTTTTAAACTGTGCCAAATCAAATACGCGGACCAATGATCCGCTGTGGTGACCCCTAACGGGAGCAGCCGAAAGAGGAACAACTGTTCTGTTGATTGACTGAAACTGCATGTTGTATCATAATTTAGATGAATAACAATTCCATAAAACTAAATAATGTTAAAATAAAATATATATATATATATTAAAATATATATATATATATATATATATAAGTAGATTTTAATAAACAAAGTAGTCAGACAACTCACAGTGTTCCCTTTTCATAATGACAATGTTACTAAAACAGTAACAGAAACACTGCCTGAATTAGACTTTACCTCAGACTGCAGGATGAGGCCAAGAACATGATCTATGCTTTTGCTCTTCAGTGTTTGGATTTTTACAATTCACTTTTCACTGGTTTAGCTCCTAAAAGGTGGCTGGATTGATTGCAGCTGGAACAGAGCACAGCATTAAGAGTGCTCTTTCAGTGAACAAATGAACAGCACTTCACTGGCTGCCTGTCATGCAGAATACATTTGATTTTTATTGTATTTTTTTTTTTCGTTGTTTGTTTGAATGAGCTAGCACCTCCTTATTCACTTCAATTCAATAAAATTTTATTTGTATACCGCTTTAAACAATGGACTTTGTCACAAAGCAGCTTTACAGAAATAAATGGATTCAAACTCTCTCTCTCTCTCTCTCTCTCTATATATATATATATATATATATATATATATATATATATATATATATATATATATATATAATGAGCAAGCCAGAGGCGACGGTGGCAAGGAAAATCTCCCTGAGACGATATGAGGAAGAAAACTTGAGAGGAACCAGACTCAAAAGGGAACACATCCTCATCTGGGTGCAATGGATAGTGCAATTATAAATAAATCCCTTCTATTATTGTGTACTATATGGACAAATAGTGCAATTGAGCAACCAGTAAATTCATCACAGTTTTCACAAGAAGTCCGGTTGGTTAAAATCTATCCACCGTCCACTAATGGAGTCCTTATCTAGCCGAATGGCTAAGTGAATACGCCTCAAACTGATTTCCTGAACCTCTTCCCAATAGACATCTTCAGCTAACAATGTTAATGAGCAGCTTCCTTACATTTTATTTCACAGTATTATTATTCATGACACATTCCATTAGAGCTGCATTTTTTTTTTTACCATTGAGATACTGTATTTTATTCAATGTGAATTACTAATCCTTTTTAAAAACCCTTTTCACCTTTTTTGTATGACAATTCCTTTAACCTTCCCTTTTTTATTTGCCAATTCATTGTGAAGCCATTTTAGCTGCATTTAATTGTATAAAAGATACTCAAGTAAAAGCTACTAATATTGGTTTGGATTATACGTTCACATGAATACATGTCAAATGAATCCATTGTAGTGTACGTAATCTATTTATAAATTGTATTGCTCACCTCAGCAATACTTTAGAGTTCTGATTTCTTCTCAGCTGCTTTGCTCAGTAACTACAGGTAAAAACTTTGCTTTTGTGGATCGCTTACAAATTGTGGCTAAAGACAGTTTAATCATGGACCAACTGTAATGAGCTGCTTTACTTCAAACACTGTATTTGATTATTCAATATTTCAGATGCCAGTAGTTTAAAACAGTAAAGTACATCATCTCGGGCTCCTTCTACAATTTTCAAAAAAAAAAAAAATAATAATAATAATCTGAAAGTTTCTCATGCTTAATATTGCATTGCTAATATTCTTAAGCTACTGATTTACACTTTGCAGATTTTTTTTTTAAATAACACTACCAGGAAAAAGTGGAAGCAAACATACACACGGTTCACAGTTGTGAAATCAAGTTTTATTTCAATAAAACAATTCATGGCATTTTCTTATTCATCAGATGGCGGTCACGTTTTTATTGTCTCCTAAAACCACAAACCTCATGTTTAAATTCTTTATTAGATACTGCAAACTGAAACTGCTCTAATCTCTACAGACAATGTGAAAAAACAGAAGTCAAGGCACAAAACAGAACAAAAGAGTTGGGCCAGGAACACAAAAGGACGAGTGAAGACATAGTTATGCATCTTACATATTAGTCACAGTTGTACAGTGTTGAGCAAAGTGAAGCTAGGATTTCAGCATGTTAAATGCATAAGACAAATTACTGAGAGCGTGTCACACTGTGGCTGAACCAGAGCAAGCTATTTGTTCTTTTTCTTTTATTATAATTCATTTTAAATTTGGTCCATCACACAGCACATTGCACAGTTAAGCCAGGAATGTGGAATTCACATGTAAGTAGATAAAAAAAACAACAACAACAAAAACAAAGCAAAAAGTTGTATTGATCCCAATCTGTGCTTACATAGCTTTTTACAAAAGACATATTACGCAGGACCGTTTATTAAGATTTATGAATCCGTTAAAGAAAAGGGAAGTTAATTTATCAAATATTTTCCCCCCTCACTCTCTTCTGTTGCACTGTCGTACTCAAAAACAAAAGTCAAGGAGCAAAGAGAAACAATTTACTGCCTTTGAATTCTAAAGAAAATAACCTCAAAAATATTTACAAAGAAAAAGGAATAAAAAAATTATTTTGGAATTCAGTGACTGGTGGGACTCTGCAATATATGTTTTCTCTTTGTTGTGGGTCGTTGTCCTCCCCCCTCCCCAAAACGTATTACAGGAAAATTCAGCGTTTGTCTTCTGGATGGCTGTAGGCAGTCTGGCATTGTGATGACCGACGCTAATGCAGGTGCACCACACACAGCTGCTTCCTGAAGAAACAATACACAGGAGAAGAATCTAACAAATGAATGCAAACTTATATAAATATATAAAGATTTTGTGAGAAATGTCCTTTTGACTGGCTATCATTCATGTTAACTCTGTGTGTGTGAGTGTGTGTGTATACCTTGGCATGTTCCCTGACTTTGTCTTTAGAAAAGCCCACAGTCCTTCAGGTTGTTTTTGATGATGACATCAGTGACAGCATCGAACACAAACTGCACGTTCTTGGTGTCGGTGGCGCAGGTAAAGTGGGTGTAGATCTCTTTTGTATCCTTCTTCTTGTTCAGATCCTCAAACTTGGTCTGGATGTAGCTCGCTGCTTCGTCATATTTGTTGGCTCCTAAACAATAGGAACAGGAAGATGAGGAAAACATCAGTGTGAGTATAATACAGCAAGAAACCCAGGTGTCATGGAAGGAAATAGTTCAATCAAAAACTCTAATGCTAGTGGAAAGATATCACTGATCATCATGAGATTTGGGAATTATATTAACCTTAAACTAAATTAGTCATATGCTAGTATGACTTCAATATCTGGTAAATCCTACATATCTGAATTTCCTTCTATCAAACTCAGATTACTTAAAATGCATCCCACCATTAACAGCACATCTCTTATAACATCTTATAAGCTTATTTAGTTTAAAACTGCGATTATGGGGACTATTTGGACCTTAGCGTTATAAGATTCCATCTGAATGAAGAGCTGTTTCGAGATACAGGACATCAAAGTTTTTACATTTCAGCTAACAGAAGTCTACTTTACTGTAATCTGCATATATAGTTCAACAAGGGCTACACTTTAAAGTTATATAAAGTAAGATCAAATAACGCTGTCCATTTCTCATGAAGTAATCCTTCAATCTGATTGATGAATAAACAGTATGACTCAGCAACCAAAAACATTCTTAAACAGATTTTAAGACCTAAAAACTCTTGTTCTTAAACAAGATATTCTATCTTAAAATTTAATTTTAAAACATTTAACAATGCAGTCATATTGAAAAATCAATTAAAACATACAACACAAGTTTCTGGTTTCTGTACAACCACCCACACACACACACCCACACCCACATTCTCTCACACACACCCACCCACCCACACACTCACAAACTCTCATAAAGTCTGCTATCTTAACTCACAATGGAAGATCAGTTTATAAGACACACTGCATGCAGCTAACTAATACCAGTGATAATAAATGCTACTGTTATCTGATGTTATCTACAATATTAGATAACATAATATATGGATGATGACTGGGCGGCAGACAGTGTTGTCAACAATGCTGACAAGAACATCCTAGCGAGCAGAGAGAAAAACAAAACACAAGACGGAAGGGATCTTCAACTGCAGATACGTTTGGATTAATAAACAACCAGATGATAAGCTTTACTTTATACAACTGTTTCAAAATGAACAGAAGCACATGCCCAGTCCATGTCAAGTCTAATAATATAATATATAATAATAAACTGTCTAAAAAAAATAAAAATGTTTTCCTGTACAACTGTTCTCCTAGCCTGCATTTTTTCTTACTGAACACAAATACAGAAATCCAAAAACCTCTTCATATATATATATATATATATATATATATATATATATATATATATATATATATATAAACTATTTATCCATAAGCTTGGAGAGAACTTAAAAAAAATATATAAAAATTAAACCAAAAACTTAAATATAAAAATAACGAATGTATAAAAAAAGTCACTAAAGGACAATCAAGTATGCGCCAGTGATAAACCTTATAACCTTATAACACTAAGGTCACGAACAAAATCAAAATGCGGAATGTGCAGGATTTTCTGTTGATTCAATGCAAAAGCAAAATCATTTATAACTGTATAACCCCATGTTTACTTCCTGGGTCATGGTTGATAACTTATGGGATGCAAGGTATTACAAAAACGAATGGGTGGTTTCTTTGGTTTTGAAGAGTCGGTGTTGGTCGTACAGACCTGTATACTCAGGGAAGCAGATGGTGAGAGGGCTGCGGGATATCTTCTCCTCAAACAGATCCTTCTTATTGAGAAAGAGGATGATGGAGGTCTCTGTGAACCATTTATTGTTGCAGATGGAGTCAAAGAGCTTCATGCTCTCATGCAT